TTTTCTTTTTCTTCTAGCCATCATCGGGTGATGCAAAACTTTATCTGATGTCAGGATATACTATAATAAATGTTTTATTATCTTATAATAGAGTTTTGGATATAATGGTAAATATTTAGTCAAATATGTTGTATATTTTTAAATTGTATTTTCATAAAGAAATATATTTTATCATTGTTGCCTTTAAATGTTTTGGGTTTTTTTACATTTTAGTTTACATTTTTAAATGAAGCTTGATGTTAAATGTTTGTTTTTTTTATGGATGAAAATATATGAAATGCTGGAACTATGATAAATAGTGATAGATAAAGAGTATGTATATATTTTAAGGAAACGAGAAAACGATATGGGCATTGTCTAAGTTGTGGTTTTAGCTCTCTGTCTCCCTCTAGTGATTTAATACTGAAATGACAAGTATTTGACAACACCAAAGAAATAAAGTACAATTAGAATAGAATAGAATAGAATAGAATAGAATAGAATAGAATAGAATAGAATAGAATAGAATAAAATAGAATAGAATAGAAAAGAATAGAATAGAATAGAATAGAATAGAATAGAAAATCCCTTTAATGTCCCACAATGGCAGCAGCAAAAGGTTATAGCAAAAGTGGTCATACAATGTTGACCTACACTATTATTAGGCTACCATCAAGGACATGAATGAATTTATACAGGAAATGAACATTTGCCAGGAAGATGTTTATGCAAAGAAAGAGCTTTATTAAAACAAACACAACTATATACAACGCGAGGATCTGCCCACACATGCGTATCCAAAAATTACAACTCCGTGAACTGTCCGTTTGCCTCCTCAGGGTTGGAGGTATCTGGCAACATTCTCACCAAGGCAGGTCCGATGTGCAGACGCCAACTGTGCGTGGCTCTGTACTTCGGCATCGCCTCTAACCGGGACTGCAGCTTTTTTTTTTTTTTTTTTAAACAAAGTGGGTACAAACAATTTAGGCAATAAGAACATTATAATTCTAATACTATGGAAGGCATAGTAGAGGCAGATTTCAGAATGGAAATACAAAGTATCTTTGATGCTTAACACAGAGTTCAGAGAGATCCGGCCAACGAAATGGCGGCGGCCGTACAATCCATCCAGAGACACCGCCAACAACGCCATCTTCTTCGTCAGACATGAGGTCGACGATGGCGGACTTCCAGAGTTCCACTTCCTCATCAGCTAGCACACTCTGCCTCGATTCCAGCAGCTGTAAAAAAAAAAAAAACAATGAATCAGCACTATGCNATATTGACGAAAATCCCACTTTTCATGCAGTGTAATGGTCAAATATGACCAAAGGATTTGTTGCTGATGAAGAGAGGAATAAACACAGTTAAAGATTTGCAGCTAAAATAATTTCTTCCCATGTTATGGAGGAAATACAGATTATTACAGGCAGTTAAAATATACATGTAGTATACTACAAACGTCCTTAATCCAGTAATCTGTCACCTTTTAAATTATAAGGGGATTAACCAGAAAGTCTAAACTCTCATCTTCGCAGGACGTCTTAATTTGTGTGCCCTGCTAGCAGCCAGTTTCCATCCTGTTATATCAGCAATGGAAACATAAAAAATACACTAGGTGTTGGAAATCTGTGTTTAATGATTCGCTTTTATTTATCTCAGGCTGAGGGACAAAAGTTGGAGAAATACCGATTCTCCTGGCGTTTAAAAAAGCAACACAAAACAGCGTAAGAAGACCTTGTTTGTTCATTTATTTTACAATTTAATAAACACGAGCTACCGAATAAACTGAATTGTACAACATTGACATGATTTTATTGATTTTATTAGCAGTTTTTATTGAAAAAATGATCAGATGTCTGGCTGCAATGCGCGCTCCCGACACAAGGGGAACAGAATTCACGCCACACCTTAATGAAGAAACCTGTTCTGACTTATGGTGGTTTTGTAACGGATTGCTTTACTTAAGACAACTTACTAGTTTGTAACCTTTTGAGTTTTATCGTGAGTTTATTTATTTTTTTATATTTTGAGTTTTTTAAATTAAAGTGAAAATAAAAAAATTCCGCTCCCTATTTTTTCCTTCTTAGTTTCTTTCAACGTCACTTTCGGGTTGCCATGTATGCATTTTTCCTGCCACTTATGGAACTCTTAAAACTACTTTATCTTTTTATTCGTTTATTTATTTTTATTTTTTTTTCTCCAAACGTCAGCGCTAATGAACGTTTGCGCTCAGATTCCGTGTGTTTCTGTTCACATGTGCGTGTACATTGAACCCTCGCTATATCGCGGTTCACTTTTCACGGTCTCGCTGCTGACAGATTTGCATCATGCATTGTTAAACTTTATTGTCAAACATAATCAATGGCGGCATGTCGGTTTATAAGGATCTTTTGGCCCAGAAGAAAAAAAGAGCGACAACAACTACCGATAACTATATTCTTCTCTTAAAAACACTGTTTTTTAGAAGAAAAAACAGAGCAGAGTCAGGATGCAGTGGCTCCGTCAGAACAGCAGTGAAACACTGTACTGTACACGTCAGTCACTATTTGCTCTACTGTACTTTTTATTTTTTTTCACAATAATTTTTCATTTTCTCCCGTTCCAATCCGTCACGGCGGGGCGGTGCTGATCCCCGCAATATAAACCCTTCAGTTCGTATTGATGATTAAAATTATTATTTATAACTATATTATTTTACAGTACAACAAACGTTTATACAATACTTTTATTTGTTAAACAAATGATTGGGCATGTAAAAAACTTTTGTTCCTTGATTTCAATGTTGTATGGAGTATTTCATTGTATAATAACTGTAAAAAAAAATAAAAGTTTCTACTTCACGGATTTCACCTATCACAGGTTCTTTTTGGAATGTAGCCCCCGCGATAAACGAGGGTTCACTGTATTTTAAATCTACAATTTAAAACGCAGTTGATTAATTAATGACGCATCCCATCCAAACAACAACTGAACACTTTTCTGAGGTGTTTTATCTATAATTGTGTCGTTGTGTTGTGCTGTATTAAATTAGGCAATGTTTGAACAGATCTCTCACTCACATGCACTATTAATTAATTTCAACATTTATTTTTAAAATTTGCCTGAATGCTGCAAGTACCTATTCATCTATCAGAAGAGCTTCAGGTTATAGTCTTGCCGTAAAGGAATGTACTTTAAGGTTATGTTAAAAAGTATTGTTATTGGTCACAGGGTTGAAGGAAGGAATGCATTTTAACCTATTAGAAATTATAAACTGGAACCTTGGATGAAATGTTAAATCCTACACTAAATTAGAAATTCTAAACAAAATTTATTTTTGTTTACATTTGTGTATACAAAATAAATCTGTCTAATTCTAAGTCTGTAAGTCTAGATTTTCATTTCTGAAGGGGGGGGGGGCACAATTATTTTTTTTTAATACAACTCATATATAACTTCAGCATGTTTTCTAGTTGATCGTGTTTTTTTTCTCCACTTTCTCTTACATCTCTGCTATCCCTCTCCTAACAAACTATATGGATGCAGGACATGAACAACAGGACCATTTGGGGTGAAACAATCCATGTAGATTAAAAACACCCAGTTGTACAATGATTATGAACTTGGATATATAAAATAATATCCATAGATTGTATTGTATCCCTTTTTTTATGGTATAGATATTATATAACAATAATACATTTTATTTATCAGCCAATTTAATTAAACAAATATATCTTACAAGGTTGTTGAAATTTTTTATAATGTGGAGGGGTACAAGTCCTTATATATGCTCCTTTCTTTTTTCAGACACCCTGGCTACGAGTCTAATAACTAAACAAACAGGAAAATGCACGCACAAGAGTTCAAAGATTTGTGCAGATGAATACATATCATTTTTACAACCATTTTAGATTATGCCACCCAAGAGAAGAAAAAGTCTAATTTACAGTAGCCAATTCCCTCACCATCTGTGGTGTTTTGGAGATCCACATTCTGGGTTTGAGTCATTTAATTATTAAATTAAATGACTTAAATGACAATTAAGAAAGATATATTAAATTTTTATATATCTTTCTTCTTAAAGGATAAACAGGAGGGCTCATATAAAACTCTGAACATGTCAAAAAGAGCACATTTTTTAAATAGTCAATAAATGGTTGAACATTTGTT